GGGGGGGGGGGGGGGGGGGGGGGGGGGGGGGGGGGGGGGTTCCTCGTTTTTTGTCGAACGGAGGTTGCGTTGTCGGTTTTGTTTTCTTTCCAGTTAAACATAGTTCAGACGCCAGAGTCGTTCTGGACATCCGTTAAAATTGGAACGGTATATAGAAGATTAGCATTTCATGTGCAATCTGAGAATAGAACACACGACTAACGGCTTGTCCAGCAAGCGCCTAACCAATAGGGTAAAAGTGGGCTGGGGTGAAAATAAAGCCCCATGACGGATACTTCAGCCCACCCCAGCACAGATTGCTCAGCGTAACAGTGTACCCAACTAGGAATGATACAGAGAAGATTAGCATGGCCCCTGTGCAAGGATGACACACATAAATCGAGAAATGGTCCAAATTTTCTCCAAATTATTTGGATAAGAAAAAGGGGGGAAAAAAAAAGTTTGGAGTCTCTGGCGTACTTGCCAAGGGGATAGTGAAAACTACAAGAGCATCTTTGTGGATCCTGTTCACTCGTGGAATGTTTGGACCTCCAGAATGTGGTGAGGGCTCGGAGGTGCGGGCAAGCATTGTCTCTTTTTTTTGTTTTGTTTTTTACTACTCGCTTTATGCACGTCATCCTTGTACGGGGGGCGTGCTGATCTTCTCTGTAGCGTTCCAATTTTAATGGATGTACGGAAGGACTCGGGCAAATGTCTCTTTTTCTTTTGTTTCTCCCTCTAAATGATCAGGTTCAATGAACTTCTCACAGCACCGGGATCACCGCCATAAAAATTTGGACCAGTTCTCGATTTATGTGTGTCATCCTTGAGCAGGGGCCATGCCGATCTTCTCTGTGTCGTTCCATTTTTTATTTATTATTTTTTTTTTTTTTGTGTGTCGCTCCAATTTTAACAGATATCCCAAAGGAATCGGGCAAATGTATGTTATTACGATGTGTTTAGGTGTTATTTCGAGTACCGAAAAACAGCTGTCAGCCAACAGACGAGCGGGGCATTTGGATAGAGCGCAGCACAGTGCTGGCTATAAGATGCCTCTTCCTGAAAATCGAAATTACAGTACGTCTTCCTGAACAACAACAACAACAACAACAACAACAACAACAACTCAGAAATTACAGTGCCTATGTCTGCTTTGCGAGGCAAGGAGGACTAGACAAAGACCGGACTCAAGAAACACTCAAGTCCCCTATTATCCAACCCCCAACCTCAGAACCAGGTGAGGCTAGGACTGTCTTCACCCGAACAGAACAGCCGGTTACTATGGCTGTCTTTGGTGCAACTTCTGCTCAAAGATACAACAGCGAGAATGACCGGGTCCTACCCGGTCACTATAGCTGTATTTTGTGCAAATTTCAGTCTAGATACATCGATAATGACCGGACACACCTGCACACCTTACCCAGCCAAACCCCAAAAGCCTAACTTACTACAGAAAACAAAAAAGGCAAACAAGTGATCAATCACACAGACAAACCACTGACCCAGGTTACCTAATCCGGGAACCTTCCAACACTCCCAGGATAGCATGCATTCTACCCACGAACACTCCCAGGATAGCATGCATTCTACCCGCGAACACTCCCAGGATAGCATGCATTCTACCCACCCCCGTGTAAAGCGGCACAAAAAGGTCACTAGGCGACAAAACCAACTTTCCCGAGACATGCTAGAGACTCTCGCAGTCTGGTCGTCCTTGGCACAATCTGACTCTCCTCTCCCAGAGACATGCTACAGACTTTCGCAGTCTGGTCATCCTTGGGACAAAAGCAACTTCCCTCTGACCCTGTGTAAACCACCAGTACCTCCAAAAGTCGCAGCGGTATACAAGCCGCAACAATCATAATCAGAAACCAGGGACGGTCATTCTCGCACAACCCTATTGGTTTGTGTTTAAACCCACCAGTACCTTTCTCAGCTATCGATGCCGAGCCTAAACGAACTGGAGCGGGCCTCATTTTGGCTGGCGCCACCAGCCATTTCGCGCTGATAGTCCCAAGCCTGTCCGCCTCCCGTGTTAACCGGCGGGCCTATATTTTTCAAGCAGGGAAAGGTACCGGTGGTTTAGACTTTTATAAAGTTTCAACCAGTGAGCAGTAATTGTCGACACAAGTGGGCTAGGGCTTGGCAGTTCAGATTGAGAATTGAAATCTGCTCACCTTTAAACAGGCATTCCTTTCTGTTGAAGCAAATGACTTTGTTGGAGCAAATGACTTCCAAACAATCACCCTGCAGACCTTCCCTGCTACAAGCCGACATCGCTATGTCGGACCAGGGCCCATGTCCCACTTGCGGAGGCTTAGTTCTGGTTCTGAGTATGCGTGGCTCCCTGCCATCCGATCTGAAAATCTCACGGCCATGGAGTGACCACGTTGAAAAATACACGAAACATGAACTAACCCCCTGCTAGTGGGACATGGCCCCGGGCTTTACTTCAGTAGTCCAGACACTATTCAGCAGTCCGTCCACTCAAAAGCATTCTTTGAGAGTACCCCCCGTTGCTTCCTCCACCAGGTCCTCCAGTGCTTGGACTACAGGCAGTCAAGCCATACATGACCAGGCGACTCCTAGGCCCACGTACGACCCGGGATATTATTTTCATTTCCCTTCACTGATGCCAGCCACAGACCTGATCTTGTCTCTTTTGACGATTGCAGACCACCTCTACGAAGACAAATGACAAATTGCATCCCACAACTTCTGCAGGTCCTCTCTGGTTTCTGTGCCCCTGGGACATATTCAGAAATCCGTGCGAAGGTGATATACCCTGGGACATATTCAGAACTTCCGCAGGGATTGTAAGAGCTGTTGTTGATTCAGGGCATAGGGCCTCGTCGCACCAGTGTTGAAACCACGATTTTCGATAATTTCTCTTCGCCTGTCAAAATTGGAGACGGGAAGAAAATTCACAAGTTGTCAGAGAATGCTTCTCGACACCTGTTGTCGAAAGTTCTTGAACCCCCAGCCTGCTACTCCGAAGTTTTTGACAGTCCTCAGCTGCGCCGTTGACTTCCCTTCGAAATTGGTGAGTGGGCGTGAGGTTGGGATGGACTAGTGCTTGTCGTACCCTCAGGGGCGTTCGTCTTTTTCCATCTTACATTCACAAGTGCGTCCATTCTACAGTGCTGTGTGGCGAAGGGGGGTGGGGGGGTGGCGAAAAAATCGTTTGGCAAAAGATGTCTGACAGGTGGTGAAAAAGACAGGTTCTCGACACTGGTGTGGCGAGGCCCATACTCACATGAGCACATCCGTAAATGTATCCGAATGCAATTAAAGCCAGACCTGGATGCATCTGGCCGCAATCATGCCCACGGGTCAATCGAAAAAGTCCTGGCGTGGGTATGCCCTAATACATTTAACTCTTCGTTTACTCTTACTTTGCCCGTAAACAGGCCATGATTTTAGGAAACGTACGGGCCACTACAGGAGCGCCCAAATTCATCCGACTAGAAGCGTTTCTACTCTATTATTTTCCACAACCGATAGCGCGGCCAAGTACTGGTGGTTTAAGTATGTTCTGACATTGAGTTATCCTCGACTAAATATTTTTTCGTAATTTACAATTCATGCCAAGGTGACATGCCCTGGAGGTTTTTAGTCTTCTTGCATGGCAAGGCAGAGTATTGATCCACGGTCGTAAAAGGGTTCCTAGGGTGGAGTTTAGGCCAGCAGAATAAAGAGGCTCGGACTCGTACAAATTTGTCGCCCTCCTTCAGGTCTCCAAGCAAAACATGGTTACAAAAAGAGAAGAGAGCGAGAAACACAAGGAAAAAAAAAGGAAAAAGAAAGGATCCA